TAGAGCTTGTCGCTCTGTATCTTAGCCACCTGCATGTAGTGGACCAGAAGGGGATCGTCCTGCAGGCTGCGGAAACCAACATGGTGGCCTCTCGCCTTCTCGTAAGCCAACTTGTACTTGTACTGCAACGATAGATAAATGGTTGGTTGTCGAATCTACATTCTTCCATACAAGACAAACAAAATACGTGCATGACTTACATTGCTGGCAATAGTAGTACCAGATTTGGCAGCTATAATGGGAATGGCATCTGCTTTCAAGTTGTAGCCCTTATTGGCCATCTCCACCACACCAGCCTTGTAAAGTTTCTGTAAAAAATAACACAAAATATATTTTATAAACTTCTATTCTCTAGATGCAGACAGAAAGGACATGGTGTTCCTCATACGCGTCATATATTTTCTGCCATAAAAAGCTAAATCTTTAATTTACACTTGCAACGTAAAAGAGTGCCTTACATTGCTCATGGTTAGAGCATTCGCCTTGGCCAGGAGAATCTCAGGAGAGTCTGGCATGACGTGGGTTTTCAATTTGTCTTTTTCCCAAGCTGCAGTATAAGCTTTCTGTGGAAAAGAAATCAGAAGAAAAATATAATCACACATAAGAGCAAAGGTTTATGTTTTGTCATCCTACTTTGAAATGTGTTATACCTTGTTCATGATCTGGTTGTTGGCAGTAGACAGAACCAAGTCCATGGAGTCCATCAGTTTGCTGAACTTGAAACTGGATGGATGCGTGCGATACTTCCTGTCACTCTGAATTTCACCACCAACTTTAGCTGTTTCAACTCCAAGTGACCCGATAGGTACCCATCCAATACCTCTGATGTCACTGTTCCATTCAGACTTGTAATTAACCTACAACATGAGAACATGAGATAGCAACACAAATCAATTCAAAGTTATGATTAATTAGTTAATTACCTAATACAATATCTATAAACAATATCCAATACAATACAATTTATCTAATATATAGGTAAAAAGTGAAGGCGTACATCGCTCTGAATCTCCATCATGTTGCGGCATCGCTGCAGGTGCATGTTGTCAGGAAGCAGGAGGAAGCTGTGGGGGACCTTCCTGTATCCCGTCATCGTCTGAACAGTCGAGGCCTGCTTGGCTTGGACCACACTCAGCATGTCCACTGGAGTGTGATACTTCAGCTTGGCCTTGTGGTAGTCCTTCTTGTAGAGCTTGTCGCTCTGTATCTTAGCCACCTGCATGTAGTGGACCAGGAGGGGATCGTCCTGCAGGCTGCGGGTACCAACATGGTGGCCTCTTGCCTTCTCATATTCTTTCTTATATTGGACCTAAAGGGCAAGGGAAAACACAAAGGTTATGTGTAGGTGATAAAAAGAAGAAAGCAGTGTTGTTCAATAATTATTTATAAAGAACGTTCAATACATACGTTGCTGGCAATGTGCCTGCCATGTTTAGCATGCAGAATAGAAATAGCATCGGCCTTCATGTCATATCCTTTGGCAATATCCTCCACCCACTTGTGCTTGTAGTGACTCTGGAAAAAAAAGTATAAACCCACGGTTTTCCAAATAATATTCCCATGAATGTTTGGAATTCTTGGCATTGCAAATTGCTGAGTATCTGTTGTCAAATTTGCACATGAAATAAAATCTTTAGGGGTCTAACCTCGCTAACGGTCTGGGCGTTGAACTTAGCCTGAAGGAACTCTGGGCTGTCAGCAGGCAGATGATAGGTGTGCATGAATTTTTCACCAGAGGCTTTGTATGCAGTCTAGATGGAAGAAAAATAAGATTTAATTAAAGAACATATGCAAAAAGCGTGTTTTCTTATAACTTATTTATTATTTAAATTTCCTTTGAAACAAATAAAAATGTTACTGAATGTTTTGCAAAGAGGAGGCGCTCTTACGTGGTCCATTTGCTTTGTGTTGGTCAAAGCCAGAGCCATGTTCATGGCATCAGTCTTGCTTGTAAATTTAAAAGAACTGGGATGCTGGCGGTAGCCCCTGTTATCGAACGCAGCTTTGGCAGCTTTGGCTTTCTCCACGTCCAAAGAACCAATAGGAACCCAGCCTATACCCTTGCAGTAATTGTTGTAGTCAGACTTGTACACATTCTGTCAGTACAGAGAAAGAATAAACACGAAAAAGCACACGTTAAATAGTCTGCTAACACTGAATATCAGCAACAAATAGAAGAAAAGTGAAGGCGTACATCGCTCTGAATCTCCATCATGTTGCGGCATCGCTGCAGGTGCATGTTGTCAGGAAGCAGGAGGAAGCTGTGGGGGACCTTCCTGTATCCCGTCATCGTCTGAACAGTCGAGGCCTGCTTGGCTTGGACCACACTCAGCATGTCCACTGGAGTGTGATACTTCAGCTTGGCCTTGTGGTAGTCCTTCTTGTAGAGCTTGTCGCTCTGTATCTTAGCCACCTGCATGTAGTGGACCAGGAGGGGATCGTCCTGCAGGCTGCGGGTACCAACATGGTGGCCCTTTGCCTTCTCGTAGGCCAGCTTATACTTGTACTGTTTAAAGGAAAAGAGAGGAATAACATTATTTTTAAAAGTATTATCTGAATAACATTAGTACAATCCCAACTTACATTACTGGCAATGTCTCTTGAAGACTTTGCAGCAACAACGGGTATAGAGTCTTCCTTCACGTGATGTCCCTTCAGCAGATCTTGGCGGTGAGCGTAGGTGTAGTAATTCTGGATAAAAACACAGTCGGTTGTTTTACAAATACACTACCACTTTAATTTTGGTCTCTTTTAATACTGTCTATACATATTAAAACTTTTCAGCTGACCTGGCTGATGTTGACAGCATTGTATCTGGCTTGCATCAATTCTGGGACATCAGGTGGGAGGTGATAGGTGTGCATGAACTTCTCTCCACTGGCTTTATAATCTTTCTGCATAATTGGAATAAAGAAATTGATTTATGCCCATATTTTTAAGTTAAACCCTAAAACAATATTTTTCCTCTCCTCACCACATTCAGTATCTTGGCATTGGTCTTAGCCAGCTCCATGCTCATGGAGTCAGGAGTGCTGGTGAATTTGATGGTTGAAGGGTGCTGCCGGTACTTTTTCTCATTCAGAGCTGCTGCTGCCGCCTTGGCTTTTTCCACATCCAGCGAACCAATGGGGACCCAGCCGATTCCCTTCACACAGGTCTCGTAATCCATTTTATAATTGAACTGTAAGAAACCCCCAAAATAAATGTTAGATTAATAATAACTAACTCATCATGAAGCTTTTACAGACTTCATGTCACAAATTTCTTTTAAACTTACGTCACTGGAATTGAAGTTCATGTTGCGGGCCAGTTGGAGACCCATTGCATCAGGGAGGAGACAGTAGTTGTGATGATGCTGCTTGTAGCCCTTGTAGGTCTGCACTGCTGATGCGTGTTTGGCGTGAGTAACACTCAGCATGTCCACTGGAGTGTGATACTTCAGCTTGGCCTTGTGGTAGTCCTTCTTGTAGAGCTTGTCGCTCTGTATCTTAGCCA